GCAATTGTAATTATTTACACAAGGTCGATAAAAATCTGTTCTCCTCATAACAGGACACCATTGGTAACATTGGTTATATTACCAAGGCTTTGACTGGAATGTCATATTTGAGAGGCATGCATAGACTCAGATACGACAAGGCAGTTTTAAGGAACCCAGGTTGACTTTATGGAGCCGGTACAGTCCCTTGGAAATGTCAGCCTGACACCTTGCTTACAGAGTCCTCAGCAGCCTTACCAGTCCTGCAGACTGAAGCTAGACAACTGGAGGTAACCTTCAGAGAAATTGCAACAACCCCTCATCTATGGACAATTGCTGTGCCTGCTGCTCAATGGGTCACTCAAAAGAATCACAAGAAACATTTGAACTGCAAACCCGAAAAATCCATCAGATTGCCACTACCTGCTCCCCCTCCATCCGAGGCTGCTTCAAGCTTCACATCTAAAATCTTCTCACTGGCAGCATGAAGACATTAGGCACTGGGTTTATAATTTGCTCCAACCATTAACCTCTGTTTTCCTTTTGTTTCCATAAAAAGGCCTCTTCTTGATTACCTGATTGCTTGCTAACTAAGGCAGAGTCTATATGATGACTGACATCCCTTGGTGCGCCTATATTAACTCCTTCTGGGAGGGAAATAGCAATCCACACTGATAAAATCAGGCCACAAGCCACTTGGCTACGAGAAGTCCTTCGCCACCATACCTCCTTCCCACGGTGGACCAGAACTAATTTACTGATCTATTCTCTTGGAGACCCAGGGATATCAGATCAGCTTTAGAGGGGATAATGAGTTTAACTCTGTCACTTTTCCTTAAAATATACTTGGGGATAAAGTTAATGATGTCATGTAGTACCAAAGAATGTCACAAACTATCTAAGCTTTCAGATAAGGAACTCTCTGATAGTTCATTCCCCTCAATTAACACAAGGGACAAAATGTTGTGTCCTGCACCATGCCAAATCCTTACATCCCAAAGCCCCTACTGCACCCTAAATTAGTTTGAAGCAGTTACAAATGATTGACCTCCTTCAATGGTCCATTGAAATGGGATGAATGATCGACAACAGGAAATTATAACTGAAAAAAAGTTAGCATGTCTGATTCCACGTTGCTTATGTTTCCCTTGCTGTGACCTAGAGTAACAGTTTCTGCTTGGCCCTACACATAGGCATGTCACAATATTATTCGCAAAAACTTTGCACTTCACGCAAAAGCTACCTCACTTGAGTACATAAAGAAGTAGCTAGGGTGTTTACTCTCTCAATTCTTCCAGATTGAGGAATGGTCACCCATCGGGGGGACTTGAAACCATGTCCCACAGGGCTAATGAAGTTAAAACTAACAAAAAGTTGGGGCACCTGGATGGCTCAGTCAGTTAAGCGTCTGCCTTTGCGTTGGGTCATGATCTCAGGGTCCTGGGATTCAGCCCCATGTAGGGGTTCTGTTTAGTGGGGAACCTGCTTCTCCTTTTCCCTTTGCCAGCTGCTCTGCCTGCTTGTGCTCGCTCTCTCTCTCTCTCTCTCTGTGTATGTGTGTCAAATAAATAAATAAATATTTTAAAAAACTAACAAAAATTAAGAACTTGTTTTTCAGATAACTGTTTCCCCCTAATCTGTTCTCATGTCTTTTCAGACCCCACTAACAAACTCACTGTACTTTAACATTTAGCAAGGTCAGAATGACTTCAAAGGATTGTATTTCTGCCCTAACTACACAGTGTACATCTGTGTCATTAGCAACCTAAGAGAAACATTTCAAACTACAGATAAAATTTAAAAACCACCCTAAGTTCCCATACCTCCAAAGCCAGCAACCTCCCACATACAAAAAGTATTAAGATAATGCTTATAATTTTCTAGAATGTCCTTTGTCATGATGATTTGTAACTTTTGATAAAACCAAAATTGTATAAACCCTGTATTAAACATTCCTCTTCTGGAGCACTCTCTTCTTTCTGAATATTGTGTATCCTGAGTAGCTAGCTGTGGTCACAAAGGTTCGAATAAAACTCTTTTCCTACTTCTTTTAGAAATGTAAAAGGTTTGTTCATTTTCTGTTGACAATACCAAGAACCATGAAAATCATAATTCGAATGAGAAAAGATAAGCAAGTAGCACTAACATAGAGATGAATCAAATGTTCAATTATCTGACACATATTTTAGAACAACCATCATAAAAATGTTTCAGTAAGCAATTACAATTTGCCTTGAGCCAGATGAAAAAAACAGAAATTTCAGAGATAAATAGAAGTTATAAAAAAAAAAAGGAGGGGGGGTTGGGAGAGGGGGGTAGGGTTATGGACATTGGGGAGGGTATGTGCTATGGTGAGTGCTGTGAAGTGTGTAAACCTGGCGATTCACAGACCTGTACCTCTGGTATATAAAATATATTATATGTTTATAAAAAAAAGGAAACTTTGGAACTGAAAAAAAAAAAGAACAACAATAGAAATTTTGAAACACTGCTGGATGGGCTCAAAAGTAGTGTGGAGATTGTAGAAATTAGCATTACTCTACTTGAGCACCGATCAATCAAATTTACCCCATTTGAGGAAGTGAGAAATAATTGACTGAAGAAACGAGAGCAGATCCTTCCTCAGAGAATTTTAGGACAATAACAAATTTTCCAAAATTCCATATGGTCAAAGTTCCAGAAAAAGTAAGTGGAACTGAAAACTTATAATAAGAAATGATAAGTTAAAATGTCAAAAACCTGGTGAAAAATATAAACCTAGAGAGTCTCAAAAATAAGTGAACCACATATATGACAAACCCAAATAAATCCATGTCAAAACACGTACGTCAGAGTCATTCTTTTATAACTAAAAACAAAAACATTGGGAGCAGTTAGAACAAAATGATACATAGATTACAGATGAACACCTATTTTTGAGATGATAACTTTCTCATCTGGCTAATGAGGGGTATTAAGTATCCTGGTATTTTTTAAGTGTTCAACATAGTGCTGTGAACCATGAGGTTTGTATCCAGCAATACTATATTTAATGAATGAAGGAGAAAACATAACATTCTCAGGCAAGGAAAACGAAGAGAATTTGTTAGTGGCAGATCTATGCTGAGAGATTATTTAAAATATGTGCTTAAAACAGAAATGATAAAGGGAGATTTCGAGGAGCATCAGAAAGAAAGTATAGTTGGAAAAAAAAGAAAATGTAGGAGAAAGAACATGCATATGGGACATCCAATAGCCTCATGAGTTGGAGAAATCACATTATGTGATTACAACAAATCATAAAAGCATCTGATAACTATGCAACTTTGTTTAAAAGTAGGAAAAGTAAAGGGACCTAAATAGGAGCGAGGTTCCCACACTTCAGGGAAACGATGAAACTTGTTACCAGTAGACTGTGATAAGTCACATACACATATTGTAAATTCCACAGCAGCCAATGAGAAAATTTTAGAAAGCAAAACACTAAAAAAAAAAAATCAAGACGGAATCCTATAGTGCTTAAAGTAAGGCACAGAAGGCAAGAAAGAAGGGATGGTTGAATGAGATATATAGGAAACAAAAGAAAACAAATACTAAATCGGTAGCCATAAACACTAGCATATCAATGATTAACCTAATATAAACTATGTGAATTAAAAGGCAGATATTGGCAGTAGCAGTAAGACACACAGCTAACCATACAATGTTTGTATTAAAGTCACTTCAGAACAGAAAGAATCAAGGTAGAACTAGAAGCTATTGGAATATTCTATTTGTATATGGCTAAGAGCTTACAAAGGTATCATAAACTCAATACTTAAAGAAGCCAGGCAGGTTAAGGTTACCTAGGCTAGATGGGGAACATAATGAACTAAGAATACATGTCCTATCTAAAAGGGAAGGGAGAGAGCAGTTCATCAACTCCACACAATTGTTGACAAGAGGGAGAACTGGTTCAGTATCTTCTAATTATTCTAGAGAAGTTCTAATACTAAGTTTTAATTAAAATTTGATTTTGAAAAAAAACACAAAAAATCAAGTATTAAAAATACTTGGTTAGGAATATATTCTAAAATGTTGCTTCACAAAATTACAGTTTTACAGAATAAATACAATTGAGCTTCTCAAAAAACAGGCATGCCCAGGGTAAAAATATTGAATTCTATTGTCCCTCTCCCTTCAGCCTATTTTCAAGCTACTTGTATCACATCAGGGATATGAAACAGAATTCTCCAAAACATCACACAAAATTTCCTGAAATCGATTACAGACTTTCAATGCATCATGTCCATAAAGTGGGAAAGTCCAATAACTCTTCTCAGACTTGGATGGACCATGCAAACTGTCGATTATATAGTTCAGTTTTGAAGATCCTAGTCAATAACAAAGATGTGCCATTTTTCCATTGTGATTTAATGCTTTGTGTTAGGAAAGTCAATCTCCAAACTGCCATCTACATTTAAAAAATACATGAAAATCTTAAAAAATAAGAAAATCACTTCAATTTCAATAATATAGATAAATGTGAAAAGAACAGAAAACAGCATATCATGCAAACATTAATTAAAAAGGAGTAGCTATATAATTATATAGACTTCATCACAAAGAAAGTTAGCACAGATGAAAATAAAACATAAGTAATAATAAAAGAATCAATCCTGCAGGAGGACTCTTTTTTCATCCCTCCTAGTCACCCTACCTAGTGTGTCTATGGATCCTTCTCTGTGTTCCAGAGGCTTCTGTTACTATCTCTGTCAGATTAAGCACCAAACTATTTTGGTTATTATATTTTTGTATAACTGACCCTAGGAAATTCTAAGTGCTTTGGAAAGCTTAATACATCTCTACATTCTCAGAATCCAGTCCAGTACCTGGTGACCAGCAGGTGCTCAGACAATAAATGCCTTATGATTGAATTTCAGGCCAGTAAAGGCTGTTTTGATAGGGTCAAAGGAAGGGTCTCTACATCCCATTCAACAAGTGGCCAATCAGGCTGACGCAATGAGGCTGCTCAGTAACTTACTAGGAAACCACCGGCGGTGGGCGCGCGCTTGGAAGGCTGCAGGCGCCATGGGCAGAGTGAGGAACGGCGCCAGCACCCAGCCGCGGGGGCGAAAGCGCCCCGGGGATCCCGCCACCGCCTGTGCAGCCATCGCGGTCATGGGAGCCCGGCGCCCCCCTTTCCAAGTCCGCGTGGGGAGCCACGCGGCGGGAAGGAAGTCAGCGGCGGCCAGGCGGGATCCCGCAAGGTTGCGGCGGAAGCGCTGGTGGCGGCGGGCCCGGGAGGCAGGCTCCAAGGGCCCGCTGCGATCCCCGAAGCCGCGGGCGCCCGCCGTGTCCGCCGGCGAGATGGACCTGGGCGCGCAGCGGGAGCGCTGGGAGACGTTCAGGAAGCGGCGGGGCCTCAGCTGCGAGGGCGCCGCCAAGTTCCTGCTGGACACCTTCGAGTACCCAGGCCTGGTGTATCACACCGGAGGCTGCCACTGCGGCGCGGTCCGCTTCGCCGTCTGGGCCCCCGCAGACCTGCGCGTGGTGGATTGCAGCTGCAGGCTGTGCAGGAAGAAGCAGCACCGACACTTCCTCGTCCCGGCCTCGCGCTTCACTCTCCTGCTGGGCGCCGAGAGCATCGTCACCTATCGATCCCACGCGCACCCGGCGCTGCACAGCTTCTGCGGCAGGTGCGGGGTGCAGAGTTTCCACGCCTCTGTCTCTGACCCCGGCGTGTATGGCGTCGCCCCGCACTGCCTGGACGCCGGCACCGTGCGCAGTGTGGTCATCGAGGAGGTCGACGGTGGCGACTGGGGGGAGGAGGCCGTGAAGGAGCCCAAGGCCATCCAGAGCGCGTCCCCCGAGTGAGCTCCTGCCTCTCCTCCCGAAGAGGAGCAGTGACTGGGGCCGCAACACGCCTGAAACATGCCCGCCCCCCCCCCCCCCCCCCCCCCCGAGGGAGCCACCTCAGTGCTTGTGAAGGGATTGCTGTATGAAAGAGGTCGGTTTCTGGACTGATGACCCCGTGATGTCTCTCCAGGTTTCCACCCCTTCCCTTTCAGTGTTTTGCAACGAACTTGGACTTGCTTATGATCAAAAAACTGAGCACACATTTGTCTGTCAACAGCCATAATCTTCCAATCCAATAAGCAAGTAGTGTCTCTACTTTTTCAAGTCGCCTTGTGTAACCCTGCCTTGTATTCTTTATTCTTCGTGTAGTTCTCGTAGATCATTTTCAGATCATTCATATGTATTGTACCGTTACGGTGCTATTGTGAACGAGATTGTTTTTAATGGTCGCATCTGGTATGCAGGACCACTCCCTATATCCAAACACTTTGGTGAACATTTCTTAGGACGTTTCCTGTTGATTATCTGCGTGCGTGTGTGTAATTTAGGTCAGCACTCGCGTTTTCGCTACTTAGAGATAGGTCAGCACTCGCGTTTTCGCTACTTAGAGATAGGCGTTGATTTCAGCCATGTTGTTTATTTAATGTGTTTTTATATAATATGTTTAAGCTTCATTAGTGTGACATACCCCGTTGTGCTTATGTTTTCACATGATGCTGCCACTTTCCTTGGTTTTGTTTTAGAAACTGTCTGTGGGTAGGGTGATGGGGAGGCAGAAGAATGAGAAAGATGTCTGTGCGCTGTATATATGCCCTCTTTGATGTTTTGAAATTCCTATCTTGAACATGTGTTACGTATTGAGAAATTAGTAAATACTTTTTAAAGTGAGATTGTGTTGTTTCATTTATATTTGCAGCTGGCCTTGCCTCAGGGAACTGTTGGCTGTTATTATTTGAAAGATGGTGGTATCTCTGGTTTTTATAGTGGCAATAAATTCTCCAGATCCCCTAAATTTTTCAGAAGGAAAATAGTAGAGTGTTTACAGGTTCAAACTCCTGAGCAGACTATGTTTGAATCCAGGCATTGCTACCCCCTATATATATAATTTACATGGAGTTGCTTAAAGTCTGCATTCATGAATTTTAATCTTCTGTAAACAATGCTAGCAACTAACAGATATATTGTTTTCAGTATTAGCATAGTACTTTGTGTTTACTAAATTATCATTGAATACTTGTTTTCTCTTTTCCATTGATTTGAAATCCCAAAATCTACCTATCAAGTCATCACATAGTGTAGGAGCATCTCCAGATAGCTGAGAGTTAGCCATCTCATGCTGGCTTAATGTTTAAGATCAGAAGATAATATGATACTAGGAGAAAGTAATTAGTATAGCAATATGTAAAAATCACAAGTCCAGAACGAAACCAGCAGCAGGTAATTGTTCCCATAAAGAACGTATAGAAGACAACAGTGCGGTACTCAGAAAAATTGAAAGAAAATAAGGTTTTTCTCTAAGAATGAGACAAGATCAAAGCAGAGATAGGCAAATTTTCTTTAAGTAGTAGGGCTGATAAATACAGTGTAACTGCATGTTAGAAACGGGTGACAGAAAACTATATTGTTTAGGGGTATATGTATGGTGGGAGAAAAACAATAAAGAAAGGCAGGGAAATAATTTAAGCAAGCGTCAGATTAAGCCTTAACTCTACAGAGGAGGGATGGCTTTGTGATTTAAATGGAGAACATGTCCTGTGTTCTTGTTACTTTGGTATATAATACACTGCCCTAGACTTAGTCCATAAAATAACAACCATTTTATTATATGCATGGAATCTCAGAGTAAGTAATTCTGAAAGAGCACAGTGAATATGACTTGTTTCACATGATGTCTGTGGCCTCAGTTGAAAAAAAACCTGAATGCTGGGGGCTAGAACCATTTGAAGTCTCATTTACTTACATGTCTAGCACAGGCATTGAGGAGTCTGGAAGACTAGGATTGACAAGCAGAGTGTCTACCTATTACCTCGCTATGTAATTTGGCTTCCTCGCAACATGATAGGCCTCACAGAAGTCAGGCTTCATACTTCATGACTCAGGCTCCAAAGAAGAGTGTTTCTGTAAGTAAAGTGGTAGTGGTATCACTTTTTATGACCAAGACTCTGAAGTCTTATCACATGACTTCTGTCATACTCTATTAATTATAACTGAGTCACAAACCCTTCCAGATTCAAATAGGGGGATTAGACTTCATTTCTTAAGGGGGAAGTTGAAAACTTTTATAACAGCAGGAGAGATAGAAGATATTGCTGTGGCTATCATTGGAAAATACAGTCCTTTTTTTATGTTTCAGGTTTTTATTGAAATTCTAGTTAGTTAACAGAGTAATATTGGTTTCAGAAGTAGAATTTAGTGATTCACCACTTACATAGAACATCCAGTGCCCATCACAAGTGCCCTCCTTAATACCCATCACCCATTTAGCCCATCAACCCTCAGTTTGTTCTCTATAGTTAAGAATCTCTTACAGTTTGCCTCCCTCTCTCTTTATTTTTTCTTTCCCCTATGTTCATCTGTTTTGTTTCTTAAATTCCACATATGAGTGAAATCATATGATGTGTCTTTTTCTGACTGACTTAATGCATTTAATACACTACCTCCAACCACATTGTTGCAAATGGTAAATTTTTTCCTTTTGACAGCTGAGTAATAGTCCATTGTCTACATGTACCATATCTTCTTTTCCCATTCATCCGTCAATGGACATTTGGGCTCTTTCTAGATTTTGGCTATTGTTGATAATGTTGCTATAAACTTCTGGGTGCATGTGCACCTTCAAATCTGTATTTGTGTATCCTTTGGAGAAAATACAGTCTTACAGAGGGCTTTTATGAAGCTGTTTATGCTTCATTCAGATGTTTACTCTATAATTATTTAATAGTTCACATATACTTTATGTACAATTAGTGTACGATTTAATTCACAATATAAAAAAGAATGACTGACTCCTATCTTGGAGCAAGCTCAAGACCAGACTAATGCATTCCTGGAAGAAGAGAGAGAATATGACAGCCAGGGGGAAGCTGGTTGTTTAAAATTTGGAGATGTCCATCCAAGCACAGTCCAAGGCAGAAGTCCAGAGGATCATAAACATTTCTGATCCCACTGGAAAAGTTTAAACTATCACTACTTGGACTTATTGGACTGACTTGACAAATGTAACTGAATGCCCTTTCCTCTGGCCTTTCTATTTTTGTTTCTTTTTTTTTTAATCTTATTTATTTATATGCAAGAGAGAGAGAACACAAGCAGGGGGAATGGCAGGCAGAGGGAGAAGCAGGTAGAAGGAGAAGTAGGCTCCCCGCTAAGCAAGGAGCCCAATGCGGGTTTAATCCCAGGACCCTGAGATCATGACCTGAGCTGAAGGCAGACACTTAATCGACTGAGCCACCCAGGCGTCCCATACTGTCCTTTCTAAGCATTCATTCTACAGATATTTACTAAGTGTTTACCATGTGCTAAACAGAATGTTAGAAGGACTTAAGGCTCTGGGGGAAGAAGTAGAAGTGGATAAAGATGTTCAAGTGCCAATGCTTAGGGTGGCACTTCTAACTTAGAAGATCCATTTCTCTATTTCCACAAAAAAACTATTTATAGCATTATACAAAAGGAAATGAGAAGGGAATCAAAGTGTGTCACCAAAAAATCAATTAAATATGATGGCAGTAATGGTGGAAATCAGAGACCATAAATGCTGTAAGATGTGAAAACCAATGAACAAAAGGACAATTCTAAGTCCCCATCAGTAATTCTTAAAATGTTAATGGATTGGGGTGCCTGGGTGGCTCAGTGAGTTAGGGCCTCTGCCTTCGGCTCAGGGCATGATCTCAGCGTCCTGGGATCGAGCCCCGCATCCGTCTCTCTGCTCGGCGGGGAGCCTGCTTCCTCCTCTCTCTCTCTCTGCCTACTTGTGATCTCTCTGTCTGTTAAATAAATAAGTAAAATCTTTAAAAAAATTAATGGATTAAATGTGTCAATCAAAAGACAAAGACTGGAAGAATGGATTTAAAAAAAAAACAGATTCAACTATAAGCTATGTACAAGAGATTCACTTTAGATCTAAGGACATGCACAGATAGAAAATGAAGTGATTGAGGGATGGCTAGGTGGTTTAGTTGGTTAAATGTCTGCCTTCGGCTCAGGTCATGATCTCATGGTCCTGGGATCGAGTCCTACATCAGGCTCCCTGTTCAGTGGGGAGCCTGCCTCACCTTCTGTCTGCTTCTCTCTTTCTTGTTCACTCTCCCTCTCTCTCTGACAAATAAATAAGATCTTTAAAAAAAAGAAAATGAAATGATTGAATAAAGATATACCATGCAAATAGTAAATAAGAAAGAGCAGGAGAAGCTATATTAATATGAGAGAAAATAAACTTTATGTCAAAAACTGTCACAAGAAAAAGAAGGACATTGTGTAATGACAAAAGGGATAATACATGGAGAAAATACAACAATTATAAATATATATGTATCAAAGACCAGAGCTATTAATATATGAGGCCAATTTTAATGAAATTGAAGAGAGACATAGGCAGCTTTATAATAATAGTAGATTTCAATACCCCAATTTCAATAATGGACACTCTAACCAAACAAAGTATCAGTAAGGAAACAGAAGGCTTGTATAACACTATCGAACAACTGGACCTAACAGCCATATACAGAACACTCCATCACGAATAACAGATTATACATTATTATCAAGTACACATGGAACATTCTCCAGGATAGATTATATATTGGGCTACAAACAAGTGCTGAAGATTCTCCAGGATAGATTATATATTGGGCTACAAACAAGTGTTAATAAATTTTAAAAGATTGAACTCATACAAAATATCTCTTCCAATCACAGTGGAATGAAGCTAGAAATCAATAGCAGAAGGAAAACAAGAATATTCACAGATACGGGGAAGTTAAATAATAAATGTTTAAACAAAAATGTGCCAAATAAGATATCACAGGAAAATTAGAAGATGCCTTGAAACAAATGAAAACAAAAACACAACATTCAAAACACAGGTCAAAGTAA